TGCATTTTGTAAATGAGCTGAATAATGTGTTCAGGTGGCTCATTGTTCCTGTCTTGCAGTTCCATTTGTTTTCTTTAGGTTTTCTCTTTAGGCTTCGGTGTTCTCATACACAGGATTCATATATTCATGCGAATTCTAATATCCTTATCACCATGACTAGTAAAGCTCAATGAGGTACATCATCCATCATCATCATCCATGGAGTATTTTGAAAGGACTCAGAAGATTCATTGTGATTCCCACTTTCGGAGCTTTAAAGCTCCCCCCAATTTAATCTGTGTTCTTTCTTTGAAGAAACACGAGATAGACTACTTAATGTGAATTATTTACAGACTCAGGATCGCTCCTGATTTAGGATCTTTCCTTCTCATATGGCTTTGTATCCCTCGCTCTGCAGGTCAGCACGACATATCCTGCTCTGAAGTTTGATGAGAGCAGGAGTTAGAAGAAAACCTTTTTTTCTTCTTGGTTTGAGACCCACTCCTAGAAAGCTGTAATAACATTTTAGATCCCTTTGTGATGGTAAACAACGACCAGAGATACCAGTGCTTTAGACATCATCTACTGTGTGTCACGTAAATTACTATTATTACTGCACCAAAACTACAGTCAATAGATGATTTCAGTAGTTCAGGGTGTTAAAAGCCTGTAACTGGCAATGAACCTCAAACATTTATAATCTAATAGGAAGACAATGAAGAGAAAAGAATGAAAAAGATTTCAGGAAACACCCTATCAATCAATTATAGATATAGAACATGACATTGGTATTAGGCTGACACTAAATTCAATAGTAAATATTATTTGATGTTTGTAATGACCAAGACATGTTCTGAGACACTAGAATAATCTAATAGCATAAAAGGCAAGTCCCCTCTTTCAAGTAGGGACATTCTTACGTGAATAAAATAAAATACATTCTTAAGGGTGTGAAGAAAATAAAATAGGCCTGGGTGCTCAGATCAACTGACATCCCACTCTTGTTCCGCAAGGTCATGTTACGGATCATAGGTAGATGACAAGTTGGGCTTCTTGCTAAGCATGGAGCCTGCTTGGGCTTCTCTCTCTCTCTCTCTCTCTCTCTCTCTCTCTCTGCCCCTCTCCCCCACAGAAAGAAAGAAAGAAAGAAAGAAAGAAAGAAAGAAAGAAAGAAAGAAAATAGTAGTATGTTTGGTGTAATAAGCAGCAGGTGCTGTGGAGAAGAAAAAAGCAGGGCAAAGGGACAGAGGATCACTAGGGTAGGTCTGGGGTGGCGAGGCTGCTATTTCATTGAGAAGGGTCATGGAAGCCTAGACTTCGTGTGTATGGTTTGAGTGGAGACCTGAAGGAAGCAAGGGAAGAAATGCACAGACAATGGGATAAGAGGATTATACGCAGAGACAAGGAAAATTGTAAGACCCAGGGAGGAAATGTGTTTGGAAGTGTCCAAGGAACAGTTAGGAGGCGAATGTGTTAGAGCCAAGTGAGCAAGAATAGGAATATGAGGGCAAGGAGGTAATGGCTGGACAGGCCATTGTAAGTCTTTTGTATCTTATTCTGAGTGAGATGAGAGACCACTGGAGCAGAGACATGCCTTGACTTCAATCTTAGAAGGATCACAGTAGCTGGCTGTTCTGTGCATGACAGACTACAGGAAGGGAGAGAGGATGCAGCGAGAGACTAGCTAGAAGGTGTTTGCACTAATTCAGCCAAGATATGATGATAACTTGGTCTGGGATGATAGCAGAGGCGATGGCAAGAAGGGAGGGATTCTGGACGTGTTATGAAGGTATAACCAACAGATTTGCTGAATTGGATCAGGGTATGAGAAAAAGAGTTGAGAGGAGTTTAAAAGTATTTCTGCAAAGAAATTGTGAATTGAAGATAAGACTAATAATATAAATATAAGTGAACAATAGAGAAGTGGTCAAACTGACACTTTTCCTACTCTTATAAAGCAGAAATTATCAAGAAAACTATATAAAATAAAGATTTTATAACCACACTATTGTTAGCAGTGAGCCTCATCCTAAGTAGATACTGTTCCTTGATAGTATGAAGCCATCATGATTAAGAAAACACACCACCATGATTTTATTTTTTTTATTTAAAAAAATTTTTTTAATGTTTATTTACTTTTTGAAAGAGAGAGAGAGAGAGACAGACAGAGTGTGAGTGGGGGAGGGGCAGAGAGAGAGAGGGAGACAGAATCTGAAGCGGGTTCCAGGCTCTGAGCTGTCAGCACAGAGCCTCACTTCAGACTCGAACCCACAAGCTGTGAGATCATGACCTGAGCCGAAGTCAGATGCTTAACTGACTGAGCCACCCAGGCACCCCATCACCACCATGATTTTAAAAATAAGCATCACAAGTTTTAGCAAGATCAAATTTAAGTAAGAATAAAATTGTATTAAAAATAAAATTAAAATATCTTAACAATTTCAGCTTTACCCATTTCCCTTAAAATCTAGTTTTGGTGCATGCTTTGTAATGCATGTGTGTGTATATACGTGTGTGCAGGAAGAGAAAATTAACATAATTCATAAATAAAAATTACACAAAATACAGCATTCTCAATTGATGGTAAGAAGTCACTGTTATAAATATGGAGGGTGCTGGAAACTCTAGCAGAAATATAACACAAACAAAAGTTAAAGATACTAATCTTGGAGTGGGAGTTTAGTGGAATTCAAGGTAAAAGGGAGGGCAGAAGAAACTGATGGCTGGGATATTAATTCTAATTTGCAACCATGTGATGGTTTATATTTTCCAAGGGTTCCACACATAACATCTGATTCCATCCTCATGTCAACCCTGTGAAGTCAAGTCAGAAAAGGCATTATCCTTTTTTCATAAAGAGTGTGATACTCTCCTGAGCTCACTCAGATAGAAAGTGATGAGGCCAGGATTCACATTAAGGCCTCTGGCTCCACAGTCAGTTCCCTGTTAAGACATTCAATAAATATATCTGACAAATTAAGTGCTTACTCTTGGCTGAGTGTTGTACTAGGTGGTGCAGCTGCATCCAAAAGAGAGGAAAAGTCACTCCCTCCATTCCCATGTAGCCTTCAGGCTGGGTGGGGGTAGGGACATCAAACAAATGCCTGTGAAACTGTTTACTACATTTACAAAGCAATGTGTTTGTAAAAATGAAATAATAAATTTAGCTCATAAAGACTCGGGGGGCAAAAAGTAGAGTATTAGTCATTAGAGCAAAGTAAGATTAGCAGGTATAACCTATTATACCTGCTCCTTTGGTGATTAAAGGTTCCCAGCTCAAACTGATGTTAAGAAGGAAAGTCACCAGCTAATAGTTCTGATAACTATGCGCTAGCAGGGCGTAGATGACGTCACCAGGAATCCATGCCTTTCCATCCCCAACACTGTTTTTCTCTGCCTTAGTTTTATTCCCAGACATGCTCTCACCAGGTGTTGGTAATCTGGCCAGAGCAGCTCCTGGTGAAATCCTACAAGCTCAGCCTTCTTCTCACAGTGGAAAAGAAAGCACTTCTTTCTGGACGGCACCAGCAAAGTAGGGTTCTGTGCCTGTCTCTGAAGCAATCACTGTGGCTAGAGGGTACTGTCCTCTGATTGGTCAGGCCTGGGGGATACGCCCAGTCGTGGGTAGCCATGGGGTCAGCCCCACCGGAAAAGCATGGACTGAGTGGGCAGAGGGATTTTTCCCCAGAGGAAAGTGGAGGTATTCCCACTAGAAAGGAAAATGGCTATCAGAAGGGCAAAATAGCAGAGGATCATTACAACAGGAAAGATTCCTGAGAGGAGTAATTTGTTCCAAAATTTGAAGGTAGTGTTTGGGTTTGGTTTTAATCTTATGGAATTCTGGGGAAGAGTTGGTGAAGGAGATTCATGACATACAAGCATACCCTGCAGAACATTGATTTGAATTTTTATACTTCACTTTTCCTTTCCTGTAAGTCTTAAGGACACTATTTATTCATCCAGGGATGTCCTGAACTGAGACTCATCATCTCCTTATCATGCCTTTTCTGGTCTCCACCCTTGTGAAGCTCGGGGGGTTCATATCCCTGAAGCTCCCAAAGAGAGCTTTTCAGACTCCTTCCCAGCCACTCACTGGCCTTTTGTGCTGACTTCTCCCTTTTAAGATTGACTTTAGTGGGGCGCCTGGGTGGCTCAGTCGGTTAAGCAGCCGACTTCGGCTCGGGTCATGATCTCGCGGTCCGTGCTGACAGCTCAGAGCCTGGAGCCTGTTTCAGATTCTGTGTCTCCCTCTCTCTGACCCTCCCCCGTTCATGCTTTGTCTCTCTCTGTCTCAAAAATAAATAAAAATTAAAAAAAAAATAAAGTGATTGCCTTTAGTGACCTAATAATAATTTGTTATTAAAGATGCAAGAGACAGTCCTCAAACTTCACCACTCCCACTCCCCTGGGCTCCCCAAGATTGGCTCTGTCCTCTTTTCAAGTTTGCATTTTCTCCTTTCCACAGAGGTTGGCAATTCTGCCTTTAAGAAATCCTCTCCACTCTATTATGTTCATCCCATACCCTTATCCCTGCCTTCCACTAATCACATCCACGGGCCCTGCTGACCCTCTGTGACACTTTGAATTTTGGAGAATGGTCACATGTTGCAAAGTCCTACTCTAGAAGGCAGAATACTCCATTTTCTGCTCCTCCAATGGCCTTTATCTCTCCAGGCCTCCTCTCCTGTAACTCTGAAGCAGAGATAAGATTCCCAGAGGGAAGCATTTGCAAAGTGCTCTGAGTGCTTTGATGAAATTGATTAGATAAATGGAAACATAGTTTTTTGCAACTGCTCTAGCCTGTAAGAAAAATAAGTTATGTAAATGCAGTGGCTTGCCATTTGACAAATGATGAAGGTCCTTTGTAATTTTTAATATTATTTCATGAGAATTTTTTCCCAGCAATAAAAAAATCAGAATGATTGATTTGAAATGTTTAAAAAATAAATACTGCTTGATATCTTTAAAGCAGTACTTTCATTATCAATGATTGAATTAATATTTTGTTTAATTTTTTCTAGCTTCTCTCCTGAAGGGTTTGAAACATGCCAATATTGTGCTCCTGCACGACATAATCCATACCAAAGAGACACTGACATTTGTTTTTGAATACATGGTGAGTTGCCCCAGCATTTTATAAAGCATGAGGGAAAAGCCTGGTGCTTGTACAATGAATCTGTTAATATTTTATGGCATGATAAAACTTTCATTACAATGTGGAAAGTGTCATGGAAATTTTCATTATTATGATTGCCAGAGCTTATTGTTCTTACACTCCTTCTTTAGTCCTGCTTCTTTACCCACTGTATTTGTTGTCTTTCCCCCCCTTACCAACAATAATAAATAAGCACTTTGAGCTTGCATCCTCAATAAAACTTTTGTACTTATTTTTTATCTATTTTTAATTGCCATCTGAGCAGAATCCAACATTTTTTCATTGACAATAAAGACATGAATCACAAGGTCTTTAAAAATTGTATACAAGTTTACTAAAAATAACTCATTTTCATATTTTTGAAAGGAAAAACATTCAGATATTAGCAGAAATAAATCATAGGGCATGTATACTTGACTTGCCTCCAAGGAGAGTGAGACATGCCCGCTCCACTGCCTTCAGTGGCAGTCATTTAAAATGAGCATCTTTTTGTGACGAGAAACAAGCTTCCTTGTAAGAAGCCATTTAGAAAGACACCCTGTGTTTGACCTTAATAGTGAGGTCTCAGGAAACCTGGTTGTGTATCTTTTGTACTTCAGTCTCAAAAATTCTCAACTTTATAATACCTCCGACAGCCAATCTATGGTCTACTTTAGGACACTGTTCAAGCTCCACTAATGTTACTCTCTCCACCATTTTGTGTAGCACACAGACCTGGCCCAGTACATGTCTCAGCACCCAGGAGGGCTTCATCCTCACAATGTCAGGGTGAGTACTTTGAGGGTCAGGATTCAGGAGAAGAATTTTGAAACACACTGTCATCACAAAGCAAAGTCTCATGATACTAAGTAAGAAGATGCCTATCATTGATATTCTAGAGAAAAGTTTTTTTCAAGAGTTGCCCCTCAAGATATAGAGCAATGTCTATTTTCCAGGCAGCTTAACCTTGTTAGTCATGGCCATCATGCAAATGTGTCTTTAAAAATAGACACCAATGAAAAAGAATTGCATTAAAAGGAAAGAAGTAAAGCTAAGACATTATAAAATAAATACCTTATTCGTGGCAGACTACTGTGGTCTGTGATAGTGTTGTACTTATATTTTCCCAATAGAATCAGCAAACAAACTACCTTTGTTAGGTCTAATTTAGTTATCTGTTTGCCTCTTATATCAGATCCTATTATAAATGGGACCAAATTCCATTTTCTAGTCATTGGAATAGAAATAATAATAAACTCTCAACTAGCTGTAATTCTATGTCTGTTATGAACTTTAGAAACCATTTTTATTTCATACTTTTCATGCCCTAAGGTTTTTATTGGCATTAATTAATTAATTGGTCCTTGATATAACATATATGACATTTGTATATGATGTATTCATATTCATTCATTTAACTAATATTTATATTCCTTCTTTCCTTCATTCATTCAAGAATGATTGAGTACTTCATATTATATTAAGTTTTGAGGTTTCAATAATGATTAAGTTGTGTTTCTTACTTTCAATAAGCTTAAAGCCCGGTAAGATATATGGACTTAAATAGGCAATAAGAAGCAAAGTGATAAGGGCGATGGCCATGTTAACTAGAAACGCTATGAGAATTCATAGTAAGGGGACCCATCCAGTCCTACAAGCAAAGGGGAAAAGAAGATTTGAGGACAAGGGGTTGAGGAGAGTGAAAACATTTTGAGATAGCTGGTGGAGAATGGATAGAGACCTAATTAGGCAAAAAGAAGGAATGTCTAGTAGTGTGTTGAGGACTCCAGTGAGAATGAAAACCATTAAATTATCTTCATGATCATGGGATTTCCTTTTTAATGGCAGCGCTTAGCAATTCAAATAGAGGAATATGAAAAGTAGACTGTTAGAGTGATTCAGAGTTGGGGTTTTGCCAGACATATGAAAGAAAAAGACAGTTGGGCAAGAGAGTTGAGGAGACTGTCAAGAGAGAGGTTACAGTGATGGTCAGAGACTTCTAAAAGGAGCCTAATCTGAGGGAAGGAAGTGAAGATAGGCAGGTTGCTGATAGCTAGGGACAGAATAGAAGAGCCAAGGAACTAGAGATGTTGATTAGATAGAGGAAGGCTTAGAGAAAGAATAACTGTGAGAAAGATAGAATATTTTCAGGCTTGAGTGACTCTCATACCAGGCACTGTGCTAAATGGTTAGAAGGATAAAAAGCCATGAAGAAGACATGAGTCCTGCCCTCAGGGGCCTTACAACCAAAAACAAGAGATAAGAAATATGCACCAATTCTATTACAGGACATTTGTGAATAATACCGGGTGAGAAATAAGGCCTCATGTAGATGTACAAAAAAAATAAAAGATATCTTCTCATTTTAAGAGCTTTTATTAAGGCAGACATTAAAAGATACATTGCATTTCAAGAGTCTGTAATAGGGGAAGATGTCACAGAAGGAAGGAATGTTTTCAGCAAAGATACAGAACAGAGAAGTAGAGGATGTGTTCGGGAAAGAGGATCCCAGAGTCATGGACTGTTAGGGTTAAATGAACTACATTACTTTTCAGTCTTTGTGTTTTGACCCATTAGCGGGTTATGAAATCAATTTGGCAATCAGCAACGAGCATTTTAAAAAATGAAATAGAATAGGTGAGAAAAGAATAGAAAATATTAGGGTATGTTACACCTAGCAAGAATAAGTATTATTTTGTGCAACTTTTGTGCCACTTGAAACAGCGCTTATATCTATGTATGAATGCAAGTACTGGATACACATGTATATCTTATGGTAAGTTGCAGCAGGAAAAAAAAGCCTTAAAAACTCTGGGCTGCTCTAACTTTCTTAATTTGCAGAATTGGAATCCAAGGTTTGATAAGACAAATATTTTGCCTGAAGTTATAGAACCAGTTTTTGCCATTGCTAAAAATGATTCTTGGTTAAGATTCTTTTCCAGAGTACTGCATCTCTGGTCCTATTGGCCCGAAATAGAGAATATATTAGTAAAATGAGGATATGTAAGTCTGGAAAAATAGATTCGGTAGGTGGTTGAGAACCTTATTTTCTAAGATGTGGACTATATCTCTTAGACAGTAGAGTCATTCAAGGGGTTTGCATTGAGAGAGAATAACATGATCAGAAGGAAATTTATGTAACTGTGGTCTGTGGGATGGATTAAAGAGTAGGGGATTTCATTAGGAGTTCATTGATGTGGGCTGGCCCAGTGCTTCTCAAACTTCAATGAGCAGATGAATGACCTGGGCATCTGATTCAGGAAGTCTAGGGTAAAGGCCTTAGCCTCTGGGTTTCTAACATAATCTCCTTGATTGACCAGAAGAATTATAGCTCTATTAACAGAAATAGAAGAAGTTGATTGAAGAGGAGGAGGAGGAGAATTCCTGTTTTAGACATAGTGAGCTTCTAGTTGAGGTGGAAATCCAAAGGAAAATGAGCAGCAAACAATTGGAGAGGAGATTGGTGCCCAAGAGGAAGATAGACGCTGGAGATGTAGACTTGAGGGCAATTGGAACATGTAGTTTGTAGTTAAAGACAAGAGAGTAGATAGCCCAAAGAGCAAATACACAAAGATAAAAGAACTGATTATAGAACTTTTGCCTGTAGGGGTTGAAAGAGGAACAGGACAGCAAGAGACAAAAGAAAGAAGCTTTTAGGAATGTAGAGGATCCAGAAAAATACACTCTCATGGAAATCAAAGGAAAAGACAATTTCAGGGAAGGCATGGTTGAGAGTGTCACTAATACCAGGAATACAATTGAAAACCATACTTGACTATTTTGTGGATTTGTGAGGGATACACTAATAAATAGAGGGGTTTATTAGGGGTATGTGGAAGCACAAAGGAAAAAGTTTTCCCATCAAAACAAGTGGGAATAGGGATGAGTTCTCCATAGCCAGGGCAGCAGTGAAAATGCTCACTCTGGCCCAGGTGGCACTAGCCCAATGAAATTATCTTGTCCCCAAGAGCCTCACTGTGTTGGAAACAGGACGAACCCCTGGGGTATGGGAAGTCTCTCTGGAAAGAATCACCCGAGATCTGGCTTGGTGTTGACTGAGAAAACACCATGGGATTGAGTTCTGTTAATGGTGCTTTGGTGGTGTGAAGGAAGAATCCAGGTTGCAAAGGATTCAAGAGTGAGTGAGTGGTGAGGTTAGTCAGGGCAGACTGCAGTTTTGAGAAGTGTGGCTCTAAAATACCGTATGTGTGGGGTGCCTGAGTGGCTCGGTCAGTTGGGCGCCTGACTTCGGCTCAGGTCATGATCTCACAGTTCGTTAAGTTGGAGCCCCATGTCAGGCTCTGTGCTGGCAGCTTGGAGCCTGGAGCCTGCTTCAGATTCTGTGTCTCCCTCTCTCTCTGCCCCTTCTCGGCTCACACACACTATCTCTCTCTCTCTCTCAAAAATAAATAAAATGTTAAAAAAATAAAAATAAATAAAATAAAATACCATACATAAATACTGCAGCGCTTTACCATTTACAAATGCTTGTGGACATTCATGTGGAGCCCGGGAGGAAAGGGATTGAAGAGCAAGAAGGTGAGGGCGGGTGTGACTAATTAGTGAGAGCAGTCTGTACTCCAACATGAAAGGCGTTTCAGGCTGGCCCACTAAGAAATTCTGTCTCTGAGTCAGCCAGCTCCCTCTTCCTTTCCCTGTCAAGTTTTAATTTTCTTTTCGCCAGTTTCTCAGAATGGTGTAGTGGAGTTAGGCTGGTCTGAGTTTGAGTTTTGGCCCTGACAGTTTCTAGACATGTTTTTAAAGTATCTTTGAGCCCTATTTTTCTTATCTGTAAATCAAGGACAAGCGTTATCTCCCTCACGGATTACTTTGAGCATTATGAAAGGTGCTAGGCATACAATAAATGTTGTTTTCCCCTTCCTCCCTTCTGTCTCTCTCCCTCAATTGTCTGTTGCTCCCACTTTCCTCAGTATTTTCACATTGAAAAGCACTAGGAAAACTCATAGAACCAGTGAACATAGGAGTGTCAGGAAATTTTTAACATTCTTAAATGGCTCCTGAGCCTGATGTAGGACCTGCATGAAACTACACAGACACAGCTGTGCCATGGTGGGCAAACCCCCCAGGCCTCTTTGGTCAGATCGAGCTGCCCCTCTGCTTGCCTCCAATGTCTCCTAGTCATTGCTAGGCCAGTAAACGTGCCAGCGTCTCTGAAGTTCCCAGTTTCCAGGATGTGATGCAAAAAGTGTGATGGATTTACCTGCACAGCTCTGCATCTGCTATTGTGCCTCTGTCTCCAGGAATGCTGGGGCTGGGCTTTTCTTTTCTAAACTGCCAGAACATGTCCTCGGTTGGCATAGGTCTTTGTAAACACTAATGTTGGTGTTTCAATTCTCAATTGCCAGTGGCACTGGAAAAGAGCAAAAGACATTGGAATCCTAAGCATTCTGTTTTTCCTTAAGCGTCTACATTGGTGGGAACCTAATAATGTCTTTGGTTTCTATGCCTTATAACCACATGCAACATTTAAAAATTTGGGCCCAGAATGTATTTTTCCCTCTTATTTCTTCAACTATTTATTCCTTAATCTCTTTCTTTTCTTTTCTTTTTTGGTCTATTGTTTTTTTGTTTTTGTTTTTCCCTGTTTTTGGTCTTTCTTCCTTTTAGTCAAATGGCTGCAATATAGCTTGTTTTCAGCTTTGAACTTCAGACTTAAAAATAGGTTTAAAAGGTAATGGTTCCTTTATTTCCTAATTCCATCTAAAGATATATTTCCTAGTCTGGTCTCCTTGTGTTATGTTTTTAAAAGGGCTTCATATCAGAGAGCCTGGAAAACTTAAGCAGTTGTAAACCTTAGAATATCATTTCCAGGTCAACTTTGATCTTATATGCCAAGTTCATCGGTGGGAAAAAAAATTAAATCTTTCACATCTAAATCAATAACTAGTTCCGAAGGAAACTTCAAAGTTTCCCTTTAGATTTTTAAGGAAGGGTAATTCCTCCAGTATCAAAGAAATGAGATGTCAGGAAAAGGCAGAATCCCTTTGTTTAGGACATGGTCTACTTATTTGACTTTCCTTGTCTTTTTTTTCCCCTCTCTGAATGTAATTTTTTTTTTTCCTCTCAAGAAACACTTTTACTATATTCTTTCAGATGACTGTTTTTGATTTAGAGGAGAAATCAACACATAGTGGCTCAAATCTCCTTAGATAAGGTGTTCATTCCTTCCAGCTTTTCATGTTTCAACTTTTGCGGGGCCTGGCATACATCCACCACCAACACGTTCTTCACAGGGACCTGAAACCTCAGAACTTACTCATCAGTCACCTGGGAGAGCTCAAACTGGCTGATTTTGGTAAGTCTCCCCTCAAGTGTCTTTCTGAGCTATGAACAATGATGCTTTTGTGTGCATGTGTTTAAAGCATTGACTAGGCCTGGCCTTTGAAAATCGGAGGCCCATGGAACGTGGTGCTTTGTGAGGATGTCAAACTACCATATAGGAAGTGTGAGGCAAGAAACAGGGCAAGTTTGGTAGCTTCTTAGGAGTCCATCAAGTCCCAGTCTAATCGGATCCTAAAACTTGGGTACCTCTACTGCCCCATTGCCATTTTTTATAGAGAGACATTTGTAGAGAGAACTGTACCTAGTAGGTTTTCCTACATCTGAATGGATATAAAAATTCAGAATAGATCAAGGTTATCCCATGATGACAGGATAAAGAGGTAAACCCCAGATTATAGGATGGACTCCTGTCGCAGTAGAGGCTTCAGGGCACTTGTTCTGGTCACCTATCTATAGAGCTGTGTTGCATGAGTACCTGAGGTTTTTATTCCTATCAAAGTGACAACAGATTTCCCTGGGGTATCACCGTATCTTTCCATTTTAGTACTTATCACAGTGTATAACAATATATACACATATATTTGTGTAATGATTTTGTCTACTCTGCTAGACTGTAAGCATTATGAAGACAACCTGAGTCCATTTTGCTTATCATCATATCCCTAAGGCCTGACACCACAGTAGGTGCTTAATAAATATTTGTTAAAAAAAACTAGAGCTGAGGAACCACTCTTCTCTGTTTGGCGGATATCAGATGGTTGCACTATAGCTATAGTACTTTATTCTGACATATTAGTTTTCATCTGAGCATATAAGCATTTGGCAGATACTCATTTATGAATTCCCACAACAGAGAACTCATCTACTGAGGTTTTTTTCCCAGCTGCACATCATGTGATTCTGTGAGATAAGTAGCTGACCAACAAAAGTACTCTTATATTCCAGAGAACTTGAGAGTGATGTGTTCAAGGCCTTACCAAACTAATTAGTTTGGATTAGCAGTCCCCACCTTGTATGTACTAAACTGGGGAGTCCTGGACTGCAAAAATGGAGGGGAACCTTATTAGTTGTGAATTGAGTTCTGTTGCTGTTACAGAGACCCCAAATTACAGAGGTGTAAACATGCTAGAAGCTTAACTTTCTCTCACATAACAGTCTGACCTAAGTAGTCAGAGCTTGTTTGGTGGCTCCATGGTGTCTTAACCCATGTTCCTTCTGTCATGTGGCCCCACCATCCTTAAGGTATTGCCCCAACTACATATTTAAAGATGGCTGCCACCTCATTCTCATTATAGCCTAGAGGAAGAAGAAAAGGGAAGAAGGTTTGTTTAATTCCTCCAAAAGGGCATGGTCTGGAAGTTCACACATCACTTCTGTTTATATCATATAGGCACGAATTTAGTCACCTCCCTATACTTAGCTGCCAGGAAGGCCACATCTAGCTGCAAGTAGGCCAAAATTTCAGAAATTCACTTGATGAAGATGTATGCAAGGGTCAAGATAACTGAGTAACTATTAAAAGCACCCAGATTTTGTGTATTATTTTTTTTAATGTTGCTTACTCTGCCAGTTATTAACTCCTGGTAGCATGCATCTCTTGCTGGCTCTCCAGGAAGTCCTAGGACAGTGAGGTCTGTGCTTTTCCTCTTTGGCCAGGTCTTGCTCGGGCAAAGTCTATTCCCAGCCAGACATACTCTTCAGAAGTTGTGACCCTCTGGTACCGCCCTCCTGATGCCTTGCTGGGAGCCACTGAATATTCCTCTGAACTGGACATATGGTAAGAAATAGTGTCAATAAAATGAAGAAAATGTGAGTTGTTTTACCCATTAGAACTGCTTTATAATCTGAATTGCATTTTAAGTAATAATGTTAATAATGACAATCATGTTTATGTACAGAAACATAAAGTGCTTTCAAATATGTATCTCATTTGACTTTTGCAATTATTCTGTGAATTTTTATAGTTAAAGAAATTGAGACTCAGAGAGATCTTGCCCAAGGCATATTCTGAATTGGATAACTCTCCTCCTAGCTCTTCTCTTAAGTCTTTTGTCTTTCCCCCTTGTCCTCAGAGAAACACACACTCATGCTCCCCAACCACAGATACACAAACACATACACACATCTGCACACTAATGCTCACACATGTCCAAGTACAGTTCAGAGCTTAGAGAAAAAGGCACACGGACCATGATTGAGCAGACCCAATTTTCATGCCAGTTCTATTAATTATTCTGGATTATGTTATCTTGAAAACTCACGTATCTTCTCTGTGTCTGTTTCTCCATCAAAAAAATTTTTTTAATGTTTATTCATTTTTGAGAGAGAGAGAGAGAGAGTGAGCAGGGAGGGGCAGAGAGAGAGGGAGAGAGAGAGAATCTGAAGCAGGCTCAGTGCTATCAGTGTAAAGCCCAACATGGGGCTCGAACCCACTAACCGTGAGATCATGACCTGAGCTGAAATTAAGAGTCAGACGCTTAACTGACTGAGCCACCCAGGTGCCCCTGTGTTTCCCCATTTTTAAAATGAAGGTAATAAACTCTTTCCATGAGGGGTTAAATGGGGCTATAGTATAAGTATAAGAATCAGATAAGCATTTCCAAGTAGAACCACATCACTGGGGAGGCTCTTAGATTAATGGAGTGCAATAGTGACTGTGGGATCACTCATCATCCTACAACAGCAGT